ATGACTCACCCGGTTTACCAGGTGAGCTTTACCAGTCCGATCAAAAGCTCAAATTCCACTCAAAAGGGTTGAATGCTATCTACCTATCAAAAAATTACAATAAAAGCTTGGTTGTCGCTTTTCTACATTCTACTTTAGTACGGAGAGTGAACTAAATGACAAGGTGAGCTGTTAGTCGGACATTTAGTTTACTTCCAACGCTTCTCAAAGTCGGAGCTGCCTTTGCTGTCAAATCGCAAATCAAGTGACCAATCGAGAAAGTGGAGTATTACTGCCACGGACGTAAGTATGGAGGGAGTATGATAAGTGAACTGCGCAGTTCAAATAATCGGAGGTTGAGGGGTTGATTGTCAGCTCGAAATGTGGCAGAATGAAAGGTGTGAGAGGGGAGGGTGGGGGAAGGGGCAAGGGAATGCAAGATCCGCACCTCGGTGACTTACAACGACGAGAATAACGGTTTACAGATATGAGCACGAAAAAGTCGACTGAAAAGGAAAAGAGCATTGAAGAGCCAAGTGTAACATCCCAGAAAATATCATTTAAATAAAATACTACTGACAATCTAAAATAAGTAGACAGAGGTCTGTTCACGTACTTGGATTTTTCCATCGTGGGTGTGCGCCTTCTTCGAGTTGCACCGGTGCACCTAGCGATGATGGAAATGGAGGCAGTTATGAAGATGAGGCTGCCGTACGTCACAAGAGAGGCTAAACCAGCATGATAACCAAGACTGTAAGGTTCGGTATCATAGAAGATGCAGGAAGGCGCATCTTTCAACGCCTCCTCCAACGTCAACGCAGAGGTGACTGAACCCAAGGCCAACGATGCAGCAGTCAGAAAGCAGGTAGGAAAGGATATCTAGGTGAAAAGTTTGGTGCTATCGTGAAGAAATTGAAGAAGTGAGAGAATGAGAGGATTGCTGAAATTAAAAAGACGCTTTTTACAAATGTGATTCCATCAATTGGTCAATTTCATCTCTGGCGTCTCATAGCCTCCCAGCCCAGATCAAAGGCCAACAACTATGTCAATCGTACGCACGAATGACAAGTGGGTTTGTTACAATGTTGCTCAAATACCATATTACCAGATTCATGTTTGCAGAGCAAATTTCCTTCAAAGGCGGCGCACACATTTCGCGACTTTGCATGGCAGAAATGGAATTACAATCAAAATTTTTTCTACTCTCCGTCAATTGCTTTTTGTGAACGTGACTCTCCTCTAATCACTCGTTTCACTGACTGACAGTGTTTGAAGGCACAATGAAGGAAGTCTCCTGCAACACCATTACGTCTCCCTCTTTGGTGCTTTTTCCACGTACTTATCCAACAGTGGTACACATTGCCTTAACTTCAAGGAACAGCGTACTTCATCAACCGACTGGTGTCTCTCCAAACGCTCCTCCCTACCTCACCTCTCAAAGTTTGGCCTTATCAGTGAAAATGCAAAAATGCGGGTATACGTTATTCGAAGCTTGAAGATGAGTACAGATGCACTGTTTAGAGTGCAAAAAGACGAGGTGATTGCATTCCACAGAATCGTCAAAATTTTCCTCACCAAAATCTCCTCTTCTTTCATTAACACTACAACTTACAACAGTAGTGCATGGACTTTAATGTCTGAGTTAGAAAAACATAATATACAGATGAAATGTTTGAAGAACTGTGATCTGTTTAAATTAGAGTGGACAATGTTGATTCCGCGTATTACTAGCCAATCAATGCACAGAATTCCACTCTCCCTTCAAGATGGAACAAATTTAAGAACCAAAAAACATCTAAGGGGAAAAGCTGTGACAAGCAACGAGAGTAGCTATCACATACCATCTTGCAGAGACAAAGTCGTGACCGGCTCTTCTTGCCTCACTAAGTTATAGACGCGAGTAAAGGTAGGCGCAATACTATTGGCTAAATAGACAAACCAATCAGATTGGGCCTATCCACGGCTGATAGCACCAATGGGCAACAGGGACAGAAAGGCGTGCCTTGGAAGGAAGGGAAGCATGATTCCACCATCCCTTATAGCAACCACGTATTATACCTCTTCATTTTCGGTCGAATTTGGACAAAGATATGGTAAATTTCCAGGCATATGCTAGAAAATCCATATAGTCGTGCATTCTCCGCACCAAATCCTACGCCAAGGCGTTTATGAGTTGGAGGGAGAATTAATGGCCAAATCGCGTGGTACGTTGGGAAAATGTCGCCATCATAGGGCTCAGCCTGCGTCAAAAGTTGTCTCCTCACACGACTGTACATCCCATTTCGTGCGGTGAGTAGCTTGATTGTCACTTCGTTTTGCTCAAGGTGGTAACCAAAATGGGAAAACCGGTCAAAGTAGATAAATGGGTGGCAGAATTTGGTCAATTTAAAACCCAATTCGTAGAAACAGCAAAATAAGGTGAGGAGAAATGGATCAAGGGCTTGATTATAGCTTGTTATTCATCAGATTGCACATTCCGACCTCCGTTTTGCCTTTGTTAAAAACAAAAGACAACCTGACTTGCAAATGACTTGAAAGCTACCTAATTGGAATGACAATGAAGGTCATCCAAGATGGTGAGAAGGAAAATGTAGTTTGGTAAGCAACTCATTCGATTGATGGTGACTCCAAAAGGCCTAAATACTGTAGCCTTTATTGACCACCGTATCATTTAGTGTAGTAGTTGCGCCAGTTAGGATAGCGCTTTGTGGGTGCAGATACGGTCAGTAAGATAGGCGGGCTAGAGGGCACTTCCGTACCTGGGGAAGACGTTGTCCCCTGACGAGACGGTGATGGAGGAGACAATAATTGATCAGCTCCTGCCAAGTCAATGCAATATTCTGCCCAACCATTGTCCGGACATTAACTAGGCTCCTCATTTTAACTCCTCAAAGAATACACCCTTTG